GGTTCTGTGCTGCGAGTTCCGCACGGGAGTGGCCATAAGCGGCCGAGGCTCACCGATTTGGCTGCACTTCTGCAACTGCTAAGCGGTGCTGCGGGGACGCTTTTGCACTTTCAGAGCCATGACAATGGCAGTAATTAAGCAAAGCGGCAGTAACCAGCTTGACACTACAAGAACCGTCAATTGTCAGTCGTGCCATTACTTTTGTGGTTTCGATTGACGGCCTCGCCTAGTACTGTCCATGCTTGTCTCAGAACCCTTCCAAAGCACGAAACCTGACACCCACACTGTTGTTTTACGACGAGAGCGGCGTAGCCCTCTCTGGATCTTCACCGGTACAGTGCCGGTACAGGTAGAGGTTGTGGCGGTAGGAGGGGCCAAGGCAGTCGTTGTTAACATACCTGGTGCGTCCCTCATTGCGCCCTTTGAATTGCAGGCATAGAGTCTGCAGGCTTTTGTCCCTCCGCTGTAGATGCATGGGACTGCAGAAGTTAGAAGCCAGCATCCAGCTCTTCAAGATGCCATCTCGGTTAAGGATCGATGGTGGAAGTTGTAAGCTCTAGGCTTTAAGTTTGCGGAGTTGGGCCACAGGTTAGGATTCAGGTGTTGGGTTTAGAAATCTGTGCGAACCCTAGGGTTTCGCGCTTTGCACACTAAAGGTGTATGGGTTTAGGGTTTAGGGTTTAGGGTTTAGGCTGATAGCCACCCTATAAAGCCCGGAGTGCTGACACCAGGCCCTGAAACCTGTAAAGCCTAGACAGCTTCGGGTTCGTTGAGTGCCATGAAAGAAGAGGTGGGGAGTAGGCCTTAGGGCAACCTGCAGGTTCAAACGTATATAGGGGCCTTAATATTTAGAATAGGGTTTTTGGGGCTTCCTTACTATAATTATAGTATCATGCACCCGCAAACCCTATTCTAGTTACTTCGGCCCTACATCAAGGGCAGTCAGGCTTCTAGTCTAGGGCTTGGTGTAGGGTTTAGGAGCTGAGGGTTTAGGATTACGGCTTAGGGTTTGTTTAGGGTTTGTGATTCAGGGTTACGGCAGAATGGTCATGGCTGGGTGCTTTGAATAAAGTGTTTCGGAGCAGGCAATGCTTCCTCGATGAAACAGCAGCCGCTGTAAGCCCTCACTGTTGAATCCTAATCCTTGCACCCACAAATCCTAACTACGGTTGATGATCAAAATCCTGCATCACCTTAAGGACCCAAAACTATGGGAATTATGGTATATTCCTTATTATGGGTCATGCAGGATTTATATCATCAACCGTACTACAGCCCCAGACCCGGAAAGGCTCCACCACAATTTGCAAAAGTGCCAACCCACCTGTATCCGGGGCCGCCGCAATTGAAATCGAGTTGTCAACAGATGAACGCAGTTTGCATTCCTATGTAGAACTACTTCAAGGGTCATGGGACTTAGTTACTAGGGTCATAATTAAGGTAACTATACTTATAATTACCTATAGCCCCAATTAATAGGTACTCATAACTCATAACCCTACTTACTAAGTCCCGTGATCCTCCAAGTAATCCCTAAGCCCTAAACCCCTATAAAACCCTAAACCCCTATAGTTACAGAACCCTTCAAAAGGAATCCTTCAAAAGGAACCCTTTAAGGAACCCTTTAAGAAACCTTACTTCTTAATTAATTCCCGTGATCAACCCATCAGCCCTAAACTCCAATCTCTCCTCTCTACGCCTACGAGGAACCTGATTAAGAAACCTTGGGCCTTTACTAGGGTTCCTTATCTGAATTCTACTATTTTGGGGTTATAGGCCCAGGGTTTCTTAATCAGGTTCCTACATTAATAGTAGACCAGGTAGCCTGCAACCTGTTTGGGGTACTGCAATCCTTTTATACTCCCGCAGGTTCAACCCTTAAGTTGCCCTAGGATGCTGGACAAGTCAGCCATCTCAGCTACACACTAACCTTCAACTTAGTTCTGTGCTCGGCATCGAAGTCGGACTACGAAGCATAGAGTCACCTTACGGGATCCAGCGTTTTCGGCATTCTTAAATTGAACTTCCTGACCGCTTTAAGAAAGGTGTCGGAATAAGCAAAAGAAGCAAGAACCATATCCCCTTCTCTCCTTGTTGGAAGTATAGTAATATAGTAGAATGTGGCCCCAAATCCTGTTCCAATCTTGAAGGCTCCTATGTTGTTTGAGATGTGTTTTGAGCCTTACCGATTATGAAAGGATTAGGTCCCTAAACCCTAAACCCTAAACCCTAAACCGTGCCGACCGAGAAGCGGGAAGGCAGCGCCAACACTCCGCTTGCCTAATGGTTCTTCGCGCGCTTACGGAAAGCTTCACGACCGGGTTCAGGGTTTATGGTTGGGAGCTAGCAGAACATGTGCATTGCTGCAGGATTTGCTCTCAAGTTTTGGTGGATGCAATCTCGTGAAAGGGGTTACAAGAGCAGAAACTATGTCCAGGGATACAGTTACAGTTTCGTTGACGATAGCTCGGACCATCATCAGCAAACATCACGATACCGCAAACGGTTGTGACTGCGGAAAGACGCATGATCCAGGCAGCAACGGTGCAACCACCGCGGATTGAAGTAGCCGCCTTCACCATTATGAGTGTATCCATGCTGGGCACGGCTAATGAATTCCTATTGGGTTTCATCATAAGGGCGTTTATATGGGATATCCCTATACTTGTTTTTGCTTATGTGCTTTTTTGGGGCACTCCTGAACCCGTGGCAGCTTTCTCATGCGATCTTCTTAGACATCTGGCCTCGCGGCCGAGATGAAATTGGCTGCATGTCCTAGGATGCCCAGTAGTACCCTTATTCCCTTTTTGTAGCCCTAGGTTCTTTATAAAGTTACCCAATACCAAAAAGAGAGGCCTTTTTATTCTTAGGTTACTGGGTATCCTGTCTCCGGCATCAGACGCATTTCAATCAGACGCCTCTGGTGTGTCACGCTGACTTCCTGTCCGAAGACTTGCACAGGAAAGGCATACTCTGTCGGAGCCTAAATAATTGCCAATACTATTGGGGGGGGGTCCTTGTTATAAATATGAAAAAATGATCCCCAAAACCCTGTTCTAATTAGTAAGGCCCCTACGGCCCCTATGTTAGTCTGCTATGGTACTCCACGAGCGATGCTGTGTGATCGCCGACCTATACATCCTAACCCGGCAGCTCTAGACCTTTGAGCCGACGCGAACTATACAACTATTTATGGACCTTCCGGCCTTCAGTAGGTGTTTGTGTATGCAGCCAAGCTGGTTGCGTGTTCGTCCTTAAGATTTCTAAGATTGCGCTGTTGATCCCGTCATCCCGAACCTTCAACCGACAGACATACCCTACACGCGGCACAGTTTCACATGTGCACACCATGCGTCGCGGAAAAGCAGACCACCGCCGCTCGATATCTTGTGCGGTTTTTCCACTACGTGTCTCGTAACACTGGAGTCCTGCTTGTTCCAGCTTGGGCTGTTGCCATAGTTGGCAGTTAGCGCTTGCGCGGGCAATGCCCATACCCAGCCTGTGTAACTGGCTGAAAGAAAAAGACGCCACTTGCCGGTGCATATCCTTATGGAGGAGAGTCGCCGGAGGAACATAGCCAGTTCAGGGTTTACAAAGGCTTTAGGGCACGGTGTTTTGTGCTTACTGCTCTGCACCCACCATTGGGGGCGTTGCCCTGAGATCTACTGTTGGTAACTGTTCATGCTTCCATGTTCGATCCTCTGTGGGGTCTGGGTACGCCCGGAAGTCCTCGAGGTTATACCAAGAACCCTCAGCACTCACAGCCCGAAACCCCATAAACCCTAAACTCTAATAAAACTTGAACCGCTGTGAGACTGGCATGGCGTCCCCCTCCTTAAACCAAAATGGTCTTCCAGACGCTACTCGGAGGGTCGGGGGACTTAGTAAGTAGGCCATAAATAGACTTATAAGTGCCTTAAAGTGGACCCTAATTGGGGCTATGGTACTTCTAAGTCTCTGAAATAACTTCTTGCTAAGTCCCCCCTCCAAGTAACTGCTAACGGGACAGAGGGCTCAGAAAAGAACTGACCCCCGAAACCCTCAACACTCCCCTTAGTCCTGTTGCTTCTGAAGGAACGTTGGCGGAGGCGCTGGCGCTGCAAGCACCACCACCCCCCCCAGACCCCCGGAGGATCCAAAAAGTAGATGATGGGGTTCCTTTGAAGTACCCTTAGTAATTTCGGGCCCCAAATTAGGGGATCTACTTTCTAGATCCTCCCAGGGGGGTCTGGGCCGGTGCCGACGCAGGTTTCTGCTTGCGAGATGGAAAACTGACCTCGAGCCGACGTGAGCCTTGTCGAGAACTCCTCTACCCTAAGGCTCCAAAGTAGTTCCTTTTGGGGGTTCATATTTAGAATTCCATAAGGTATTCCCAAAACGGAACTACTATGGAGCCTCCCTGCGCACGTACCGTTTCTATGATTTCGCAGAGTTTACTATCATTCCCAAGACCCAGAGCCCTGAAGCCTAGACCCTAAACCCCAATCCTGGTACAGCAGCAGAAACAAGCAGTCTTGGAGTAATAGTACTTGTGGTAAGAAGGGAAAGACCACGTGCAGGAAAACACGCATCGAAGCCGAAGATATGTTCTGTGACATTTGGCCCAAGTTCAAACATTCAAGCAGCTCTGGAGACAAGATTCACAAGCCAGAAACCTGCTTGGAAGAACCACAAACATCTCCCGGTAGACGCCAAAACAACCCAAGACCCCAAACACCCTAACCCAGTAGCTTCAGTCTCTTTCGAATTCGGAGCCGGACAGTCAACTGAGAAGCCCGACAAATTCCCAAATGCTCCAAAACCCCCCTGATTTTGGAAAAGACCTTAGATTCTAGTGGGAGCCTGAATAAGATTTACGGTATAGCATTGTCCTGAATTAAGAGGGTTTTGGAGAGTCTCTGGGATTCGAAGTATAGTATAGTCCTGAATTAAGGGGTTTGGGGAGTCTCTGGGATTCGAAGTCAGAGGGCGACATGAAAGGGCGATGGACCGGTCAAGGAATGGCCTCGCTAGTGAGGCCTGTGACTCGGGTCTTGGGAGCTCTTTTCCCAGATCCAAGTACCCAAATTAGGGGTTCTTCGAGTTTTGTTTTAGGGTTGAGGGTTTAGCGTTGAGGGTCCGAGTACCCAAATACAGGGTTTCAGGTTCTAAAATCCATACTCTACATGGTTTTCAGACCTTGAAACCCTACCACTTGGTACTTGGACCCTCTTGGTTTTGCATGGAGCTAAACCCTGATTTTGGGGGTTTATGGGCTTTCTGGTTTGGGTGGATTAGAGGTTCGTGTATTGTGTACAATATTTTTCAGACCCCTTTCATAGGCGTTCCGACGCTAGAGCTGATTTCAAGTTTAAGGTTTAAGGTTGAGTTGGGCCCCACAGCAAACAGCAATGCCTTGAAATCCTGATGAAACGGGTGATACGAGCTCGAGATTTCAACTCACTGCGAATAAATACAAACTGCTGTCCCACGGAGTCCGAGGACATGAGGGCGGCAATCACGTAAGTGTAATGGCAGTAGTCGTCGTGGTCGCCGGTGTTTTAGTAGCAATAGACGATAGACTCGGTGGCGAGTGGCAGTTATCAGAATGCGCAGTCGCTGTGTCGGAAGCAGAATCATCATCAGCAGCATCACTGACGTCATCTTAGTCCTCGCCACAGCTATCGCAATTGACAGGCTCGGTGTTTGGACCTTAGGTGGGGTGCAGGGCTTCTTATCATGAATGTATCTAACGTTAAAATGATCATGATGATGGCTGCTGACCAGTCTTGTTATAGTCATCGCTACCATTTCTTCAGCTTGCTGCCACGATGGTAGGCATACAGTTGTCGGAGGCATTTGCTGCAGCTCCCAGCTGATGACCCCCAGGCCTGTCGGAATTTTCACCATCGATTGGAGGGATTCGCTCAGGGTCTCGGAGCATGCAACTTGGGTTCAGAAGTTGTGCTCACAAGCCTTTGCTGGATCAGAACTCTTCGTTTTCATGCAGGGGACCTGAATCCAAAAGCCTACAATTGCACCCTAATTCGTGGGCAATCGGAGCACCGAAGATCTAACCCTCACTTTTTCTACGCTGTCCAGACCCCTGAGATCAAAACAGCTGAACACCTCCCTGCAAAAGTCAGACGCCCTCATTCATGTGCTTCTCTCTCGAATCGGAATCATCTGTGCAACTGCGAGTACAAACGCTTCAAAGCGCCTGGGCGGCCTTGCCGGCTTTTCATGTCTCTGGTTTAGGGTTTAGGGATGTGCTTACAGCATCTTGCAGCTACCCACGAGCCTTTGTCGCTGCTTGGAATTCGAGGATGGCTTTCCGAAGTCTTAAACCCTGACGGTACATCCGCCCACATGCCTTTGTCTCTACAGTGCTGGAGTGGCTTACCCATTAACTGCAGAACCTGGACAGACTTACACTCTACAGTAGAAGCCAGAAAGTTGGAATATGATTATCCTAACCCTTTTATGGTAAATTATAGGGGATCCTACCATTAATCCATATTCCAACTTTCTGGAGTTCCCTCTACATCTGCAACCCGGAAGCTGAAAGCTTCCTTTGCCCCAGACGCACACTAACCCTTGTACCCTAAGCTTCAAACCTAAACCCCAAGCCTTATACCCTACTTTACTATGAACCTTAATTTTGCACCCATTGCACCAAGCCTGATCCTAAATCCTGAGTCCTAAGCCTCTTCTCCCGAATGCTCCAGTTCGCCCGTCTCGCGGCGGCCGCGGTGTTGGTGGCGCGGGATGGCCGAAGCGGCTTCGGCTGGTCCACGGAGGACGGTTCCGGTTTAGGCATTTTGCACACGTTTGTAAATTTTCACGACCACGAGAAGTAGGAAATCTTAAGGAGACCCTAAAACATCCTCAACAATACTGCCCCAACATCACTATGAACCTTCCTGAATGAAGCCCTAAGGGCCTTATCGGAAGATCCACTGGAGGAGATGGAGCTGCTGCGGCACGAAGTGCAGAGCTGGGAGGTGGCTTCAGGAACTTTCAAATGCGCGCATAGTATGCTTGATGGGTTGCTTTTCAGAAGGTTTTCATAATTAAGGATTCACAAAACGGGAGGAGCCCCACCGAAAGACCGCTATGTCGCACTCAGGGTTTAGGGCTTGAGGATTTGCTGTGGGTCTTAGTTATTTTTCATGAAATCCCTGCGTGTTCCTCATTGTAAATATACTTCACTTCACCCAAAACCTACCCTAACTACTAAAGCCCCACTGGCAGAAGTAGCAGCTTTTCATCGTTGTACATAGATTTCATTGTTACCATATGGCGCAGCCTACAACTAACCGAGATCAACTTGGGAGTTTCCGAAAATAGGGGATCTTAATATAGTACCCTAAATAGTAGGATCCTTATTATAAGGATCCCAAAATAAGGTACCCCCATTTTCGGAATCTCCCACTTGCCGTTTTGACGAAGGGCGCCTGGCGCGTTTTCCTCGCAGCAGGAGGTCGGGCCGGCTCATCCTGCGTGCTGTTTGGGATATGGGAGTTTCCGAAAATAGGGAACCCTAATGTAGTAGCCTAAATAGCAGGATCCTATATTATAAGGACCCCAAAATAAGGTACCCCTAATTCTCGGAAACTCCCATATTCAGTGGTTGGGCTTTCAATGTCTACAGGGAGCAGGGCAAAGGGCTTAGGTACTGGACGGGTGCCAGTACTACTTGCTCCCACGTTCGGATTTGTGATGGTGAAGTTATCTGGGCTCACATTAGTTTAGACAGAATACCTGGCTTGTGAGATTTTCCACTTCGAGTGCTTCTTCGATTCAGCCTCTGGCAGCAACTGGGTTGTGGGCCTCTAGGTCATATAGGGGCCTGCATAACTATCAACATTTTTTTTGAGGGTTCCGTATAGTAATGATAGTTTAATGGGCCCGAACACCTATTCTAATTAGTAAGGCCCCTATATTATGCGATTGTGGCTATGTCTGTGTATGTATCTCTTTGTAAACTGTAAGTTGTTTCAGTAGTGCCTGTTTGACGAATCGCATCTTCTTTTCGTCATGGCTTGTTGTTAGATAAGTTTTCCGGTTTGACATAGCTTTATGTCGGACAGGCTGTTCTTTTAGACCGGGTTTCTGTTGGGCAAGAGTGAGTCATCATGTTAGATTGTGTACTTGATTGGGCCTTCCCTGAGAACTTTTCCAAATGGAAGTATTGAATAAAATGTGCATTTATGTGTGTATATCCATATCAGATACACATGTATGTATATCCAGGAGACCGATACATAGATAGACTTGAGAAGCAATTCAATCAGCTACATAGTGCCGCTTTTGGAACCCTCAACTTCGAGAAACTGTCGTTCGAATTAGCACTCAGTAGGGTTTAGGGTTTAGGGATCTGCAGACTTCTTGAACAGTCCTTGTCCTGGTGCCCTGCAAATGCGGCCAATTTGTGAGACTACCATATAACCAGGAAGCTCTGCATGAGAGCGCATCGCAAGATCCCGAGTCCCCATGAATACACACCCTACTGCACTCAACGCCCTAAACCCTTAATCCTAGTAAACCTTCAGTCCTAAATCAAACCCTAACCCTAAACCCTAAACCCTAACCCAAAACCCTAATCCCTAATCACTCTACTCAACCCCAGGCCCTAAGCCTAAGCCTTCACGCCTCAAACGTGAAGCCTAAATCCTAAAGCCTACAGCCGACATGCTTCAGGCCATTCCTGCATGGCTTGGGAATCCCACATTCCTTGATGACGGGCACTCTTACTAATTACTCAATGGTGCTGCGTTTTTCGTTCCTTGACATTGCTACAGTATACTATGCCCCCGGAAACCTTATTCTGCGCAGTGCTCTTATGTTACGAACCTTCTAGACTCGTGGAGCCCGAGCTAGAAAGCCTGGATAACCCGAAAAGCACTTTGAAAGCAGTGAAAGAAGCTACAAATCCCTTAACCATGAAAGCATCCCTACTTGGAGGATCATGGGGCTTACTTAGTAAGTGGGGTTATAAGTACCTTAATTGGGGTTATAAGCAATGTTAAGTGTAGTTACCTTGATTATAACCCAAGTTACTAAGTCCCATGATCCTGTAAGTAGCTATCAACCCCTCTTGAACCCGAAATACACACTGTAAGGACCAGCAACATGAAGCTCTTGAGTCCCTAAACCCTAAACCAGAAACTCCTGAACCCGACGCCTTAAACCCTAAACCCTACACTCCTGAACTCCAAGCCATCCTAAACCCTAAACTTCGCAAAATCTAAACTTTACACTCCTGAACACTAAACCCTTAAACCCTAAACCTTCTAAGCCTCCAAACCTCCGAGCCAGGCCCTTTAGAGGCAACCGCCGTGGAGGCGGCTGCGCTCCACTTGGCCTTCAGAGAGATGGAGGTGGGAGTTTAAGGTCGCGGGGTTGCGGTTCTATAATTGTTGTGATTGTGAAGATTAGCATTATACTATTTTGGGGGTTCCGTATCATGAGTCTGGTGTAATGTACCCCAGAACCCTATTGTACTAGTAATTATTCCCTAAACCCTAAACCCTAACCCCTATTGTACTAGTGATTATTATCCTTGCTTTCACTCCTACTTATTACAAGCATTGTCTGCTCAAGGGTCAAAGGACCCGATTAATATAGGAGTTTCCGAAAATTAGGGGTACCTTATTTGGGGGTCCTTATAATAAGGATCCTACTATTTAGGGTACTATATTAGGATCCCCTATTTTCGGAAATTCCCATATAGGGACCTCAGCATCTACCTATACTATTCTGGTGGTTCCTTGCTACAATTACCGTTTAATGGGCCCCAAAACCTTATTCTAATTATTAGGGCCCCTCTATTATAGTACCCGTGTAGTATCCCTTATGGTAGCCCTTATAGTAGACCCATTTTTGAGGACCACTATTTCGGACCAGATAAGGGCCACCTTAGATGAGGGTTTAGCGACATTTAGGGTTTGGAGGTGGGAGATCTGGGGCTGGTACCTGGTAGTCACGGTTCTTAAGTGTTCTCAAAGGGGAAAAGGAGGGACCCTTAATGGGGACCCCTACCCTATAATGGGCTATATAATGGGTATATCATAGCTATAGTAAGGGTATATACCTAGGGGTCCTCATTAAGGGTCCCTCCTTTTACCCTTGGATGTTCCATTATTCCATTGCTTGGAGGATCATGGGTTTTAGCAATTTAGCAAGTAAAGTTATACGTGCCCTACTTGGGGTTACAAAAATAGCTACTTCAAGTATAACTCTAGATACTAAGTCCCATGACCCTTGAAGTGGAGATTCTATTGTGTTGCAGGAGTTCTAGGGGGTGTTAATGTCCTGAGGACCCAGCAGAAAGTTGCCCGGGCTTAGGCTACTTAAAGCGTCATGGGACTTAGCAACTAGGCTTATAATTAGGGTAACTAAGCTTATATTTACTTATAACTCCATTTAAGGTACTTACAACCTTACTTTCTGAGTCCCATGATCCTCCAAGTAGGAGTGATGCAGGTCAGTTTGGGGGGAGAGTATATGATCATTGTCATTAAGTACTTGGACATTAAGTTGGGGTTGGAGGTGTGGTTTTGGGTTTAGACTGCGGAGTTCGAGGGCTGGGATTGTCTAGGGTTCAGGAGTTGTGATGTTGAGGCTTTACTCCAAGGGTAAAAGGAGGGACCCTTAATACGGACCCCTAGGTATATACCCTTATTATAGCTATTATATACCCATTATATAGCCCATTATACGGTAGGGGTCCCCATTAAGGGTCCCTCCTTTTCTCCTTTGATTGACGGTCTGGCCATCAGGTTGTAGAAGTGTGGGGTTTCCCCATAGTGACTGGGTCGTATCCAACATTTGTTTGGGTTTAGGGTTTAGGGTTTAGGGTATTTATTGCCATACTTGGAGGATCATGGGACTTAGTAAGTATAGGGTTATAGGTACCGTAGTTGGGGCGATAAGTAATTATAAGTATAGTTACCTTATCTATAACCCTAGCTACTAAGTCCCATGAGCCTGTGAGTATTTCCAAAGAGCCCGCATCTGGCCAACGTCGAGTCTGCTTCCCTGCAGCCGTTTCAGAGTTGCACAACAGGCAGCACCGTGTACTAGTCAAGGCAGCCTGAAGAGGCTCAAGAAATCGACCTCCACCGGCCCTAAACCCTCCACCCTAAACCCTAAACCCTACATTCTTGCGGGTTGTGTTTGGTAGCTTGGGGCCTCCTGCCTTCGCCATGATGGCTTTGGGAGCGCCTCTCAGCCAGACCCGCCCAACGCTCCAGCCGTCCATGTGCGATTGTGAGGCAGGTTTAGGGTTTAGGGTGACGAGAAGGGGATGATAATGATGAATGAGGAAGAAGATGAGACGACTAGAAATGACAAGAACGAATAACACTACGAGCGCAGTCAGTAAGACGATGACGAAGACATGCTCATGATGATGGGGACGATGAGCATCATCATGATTGTGTTGCTGATGATGTTTACTTGCAGCATCATCGTCAATGTTGCTGCTGGTGTTGCTTATGCTGGTGTTGCTGTTGCTGCTATGCTGCTAGTAGTGGGTTCTTACTGTATTGGGCTTTTTGGTCTGAAGTATGTCTGGCATACTAGAATCCCCAGCCGGCCCCACGCGCTGACCCCACAACAGCCTTCGAGCAACCTCATGCAGCTTTTCAAAAGCTTCATTCAGATTCCGGAATTCCCGGCACGTGTCGTGCGTGGATGACGGTTTGAGATCATGGTAAGGTTTCAGGAAATTTGCCACCCAGGTCACTTCAAGAAGCTGGATTATTAGCCATCTACCGCTATTCCTTGAGACTTGTTAGGGTGACTGACTCCTTAGGGTCACTTAACTTTTAGAATATGACCCAAAACCCTATTCAATGCCGTCAGTCGCCTGTGTAGCTGGTAGTTGCTTTGGGGCGCCATGGTTTTTTCGGACTATTGATCGGATGCCTCAAAAGGTGGGATGAAGGTGGGTAGGATCAACGATCCCTTATAGGGGCCTTAACAATTAGAATAGGAGGTTCCTTTAAAGGGCTCCTTATCAGAGCTACTATAAGGGGTCTATAAAGGTATTACAATACATAAGGACCCTCATTTGGGAATATCCCACCTACCTTCATCCCACCTTTTGACGCCTCCGAATTGAAGGCGGTCGCTTTTCGAAACTCTCCTTCCCGCTGTGTTGCCTGCTGGTGTGTCATAAGGATGCCCGCAACCCGAAACCTCAAACGGGATTACCTCCTCCAAGCTCAATACGATTTGAATTCTGGATGCTCCTTTCCGAACAAGCAGGCGGCACGGAAGCGCAGAAGGTTTGAGGTGGTGCAGATTACCACTCGAATTTGTAAGAGCGTTCAGGCTGAACCCTATAAAGAACCAACCATTTTGGAGTTCCTTATCATGTTTTCCTTACATCAGTCCTTACAAGAATCACAAGAGATACTACTGGTAGCGGGTACCGAAGCCTCAACTACCGTCCTTGCCTGTTGCACTAACTTTCACGGCTTTGCCAGGACCCCTAAACCCTGAGCCCTAAATCAGGAAGAGGCTCTAAAACCCTCTCTTATCTACAATAAGACAATAACCTACCCTTGTCTAATCTCTGGTTATGGACCCTGATGCAGAACTCACGTGCACCCCATCAAGAAGTTGGCTTCGGTGATTCTAGTTCAAGGTAAACCTGGATCAGCACAAGGTTCTAAACCTATAAGCCCTGAATCAGGAAAAGGTTTCAAAATCCTAAGCCGCCATGTAAGAGGCCTTAAACCCACTGAAAACCCAAAAGCCCGAACGCCTTAAACCCACAACAACCCCAAAAGCCCGAAGGTCTTAAATCCTACACCTACACCATAAAGCCCTGATTCAGGAAGAGGCTCCAGCCCCGTCTCAGCCTTCGAAAATGGCTGCAGCCTGGCTTTGTGAGCCGTCTTTGGAGGCTTTGCGAGGGGAAGAAGGGGTTTAGGGCCCTTAGGGTTTAGTGGGGTTTAGCGTTTCGGGGATTAGGGGTTTAGGGGTTTAGGGTTAAGGGGTTTAGGATATAGGGGTTTAGGGTTTAGTGGGGTTTAGGGCTGTTTTGGGTAAAACATATAGGTCTGACGAGGAGCTATGTGTACTGGGTATGCATGGTCCCGCTTCTGGGTTCAACAAACACACTCTGCAGGGGACCTAACAGCTGGGTAGGGATGTTGTAAGCGATGTCCTAGTTCGGATAAAAGACTTTATCCGGTTAGGAGACTTATACCATGCATAGCAACCTACTTGTCCGATGCCCTAAGTGTCATTGACTTTGAGTTGAACGCCAAACTTCATAGATGAAGGCACTTGTTTATCAGTTTCAAAGGTGTAAGAGACCTGACTATGCATTGTGATGCAAACAGGGCGGGCAGCGCTCTCTCTCTCTCTCTCTCTCTCGCTCCCTCGCTCTCTGTCTCCCTCTCTCTCTCTCTCTCTCTCTCTCTTCCTCTCTTCCTCTCTCAGACAGTCAATCTCATGCGGCTGTAGTGCCATCGGATCCATCAGTACGAGGACCCGACGAGCAACCCATGAAAAAACAAGTATTCATGAGAACCCCCGCTTATAAAGCTTGAGCCGAAACCCCCAGAAGTGAAATCGGATGGCTCCTAAGCTCAAAACCCCAAAGTCCACTCCACCAACTAAAACCCTATATCCAAAACTCCAAACTCTAAGAACCCTGAGCCCGCAATCCCCAGTAGATGCAATTTCTGCTCGCTGAGGGGCAACTACCACCGGAGTCACACACGACCACTGCGAGTTCCACCATGCGCTCCTGGGATTTCTCGCGCGCCTGGGATTCCTTTAGTGGGTCTCGTACTTGGAGGTTCATGGGACTTGGTAAGTCAGGTTATAAGTACCTGATTTGGTGCTATTCGTAGTTGTACGTATAGTTACCTTATTATTTATAACCCTAGCTACTAAATCCGGGTTTTCGGTTCAGGTCAAGAATTTGGTGTCCGACTCCCGGGATTTCACTGCAAAGGTTCTGGTATGCTCGGAACCTGCTATGCTTTTTTGTTTCAAGTTGGAGTTCTGGTTGAGAGCTTGCTCAGATCCTGAATCGCCCACGCTCTACTACCTGTCAGGCATGGTTGGACACTTGTTATAATGCAGTGGCTTCAATAACTGCCTATGCTCTTTTGGGGGCTCCTTATTATCATCAGTATCGTATGATGGGCCCTAAAACCCTATTCTATCTATTAAGGCCCCTACATGAAGAACCGAACGCCGATACCAAATAAAACCAGACTGTCTTTGGCATGCCCCAGTTCCTGAACTCTCTCTCTCTCTCTCTCACTCGCACTGGGAAGTCTAATTCAAAGCAACAAAACGAGGGGCAAAAGCTCGCAAGTGCACTGCCGAGGCGTGCACGACATGCGATCGG